TGCCAGAAAACCATTAAATTACAGTATCAAGTACCTGTACTGTCGGGATTGTCTACATTGTGGATTCATTGTCTGCATTAAGTCCTCAGTGGACTTAAACCAAAAAGAGTTTGTACTTGCCAGAAGCATTAAAAACTGTCTGAACACCATCTTTTCTATGCCTGCCAGTCCCTGATGGCAGATATCTAAGTGATAGATACTGTATGTAAGCTGTCAAGGACACAGCTTCCAACGACTAATGTCCTCTAGGCTGCAACTATTCCTCATTTTGAAGCTGAAAGAAGGGCTTGCATTACCTGCAAAATCTCTTCAAAAGATCCTGGTTTTCCTGTCATTAAGCATATATTAAATTGATGCTTAATTCTCTTCTTGTACTATGATTTAAAACATTACCTACATAGGTATAGCTTAGACACTAAATGATGTCCTCATCGAACTCAAGTGTTTTAGCTTAAATGTTCTTCTATTCTAGTCTCCTCTTTACCATTGATATCCTAGTGACTGAAATATTATTAGACTCCTGTAGAGACATCGCAAGTACACATAGTCCTCATTCATCAGGAAATTATGTTGGAACAACATGCATACTTCACAGCACCATTCCTTGTGCTTCCAACTAGTGTTCGAATATTTGCCTTTTCCTGTGACCTCTGTGTGCCTTAGATACTTGTATATAGACTGAAATGGAAGTTACCTGCAGTATAATTTTCTTGAAGGAGGTGGATACGTTCTTTTATGAAATGAATGAGTTCTACAAGTTTTATATTCAGATTGCTTTTTTTTTTTTAGTTCTTGTTTTGTTTTGCATATAGCCCTTTAGTTTCAAGACAAGATTAAGATCATAGCCATGATGGAATTTCCTAGTTCTAAATCACTCTTATGGATTCTTGGCAGTTCTGATCTAATCTTGCACGTGTCCTCATTCTTTTAATAGAACTCAGAAGGTGTTCAGCAGTAAGCTGAAATTTGCACTTTCAAAGAACAGAAGCATCAGAACTGTTCTGATAGTTTCTGTCCGACACTTAACAGTTCCATCACCTATAACAGTGGTAGATAACAAGACTGGAAGCACAGGATGCTTGAAAACCTGCATCTGGAAATTTGTAAGCAATAAATTTATGATGGTCATCTTATGAAAAACTGTTTCTTAGGCTTTTTGAAAAGCTGGCATTATTTTTTTATTATCAGTGGTCACTATGGTGAAATACAGTGACTGGAACAATGCATTTTCTTTCTCTGTGAATTAATATTCACTCTGTGATTATGAATCAGTGATAACTTTGATGTGAAAGAAGAAGGTGTTGAATATCCAGGAGTTTATGCTAAAGAAGTTGTAGAAGAGATGGGATTTATGTAGAGAGTATTGATTGTGCATCTACTGTGGGACAGTCATGTCTTGTGTTGCACCATTATACCTAGCTGAAAACTCACATAATTGTCCTAATTGTAGAAGCAGATCCTTCTCCCTTGGCTTTTCATAATTTTCCTGGGTTTCCACCTATGGGACATTTTTTTCAGGCTGGCGAAGAACCACATCTGAGTATATGAACTTTCTGTCCATGCCAGTATTGAACATTATAAAAACAGAGACATTTTCTACGGTGTCTGGTCTTGTGGTAATCACATATCCTCTGAACAGAGAGAAAGAAAATCCTTTCCCAGGATTTTCCTGGGAAGCTGTGAGAAAGCTCAGAGAAAAGAATGAGAAACAATTCTTATCTCCACTTGTTAATTATCTCCACCACTGTTTGGCACATGTAGAATGTGTTATGGAAATTTGTTTACCAAAGGGTGATTTCTTAATTGGCCAATGGTGATGGTGTTTGGATTTCAATTAATGAATCTGGGCTGTCTGTATCGGACTGTCAGCAAGACAGATGAGTGTTTCTTCGTAGTACAGTTTAGTGTAGTGTAGTATAGAATAGTATAATATAGTTCAATAAAGCAATTAATCAGCCTTCTGCAATCATGCAGTCAATGCTAATTATTTCTCAACGAGGACCCCTGCTATGATAGGGTCTCTACTATGCTATTATTGAGTCATTATTTAATGTATTTTGTGAGGTTTCTGTGCCTATTCTCAGATGTGTGGGCATGACTAGTGGCTGGGCTTTTGTGCTTTCCAAAAACTTAAAACTGTGAATGTGTTTTCTGACAGTCTCTAGACTTTCTTATTTTAAAACGCACTTGTTTTATTTTTTTTTTTTCTAATTTTACAGATAATAATAAAGTATAATCCACTGAGTAACCAATAATCACCTTAGATAAAGAAACCTTTTGTTATCATTCAACATCTCCTTACATTATCTAGATGAAAGAAGCATCTTCAGGAGGCACATGTTTTATATTTGAAGTGCATTTTATTTTTCCCTGTATAGTCTTCATAAAAATGTATATACATATAATTTCCTTTCTCCTTAAAATCTTTGGACAAGAAACGAAACCAGAAAAACACTACCAATTAAATGTAAAGTCTCTACCCTGTATTTCCTGGTTCAACAAAGAGTAAAAAAAGCTATCCTAAAATACCCTGTTCTGTCTTGCTATGAGTAGATAATATTGTTTATAACCTCTGCCTTCTCATTTTAAACTTTTTTCCCCCTCTTTTCTAAATAAAGGATAAGAAGCAAACCATTTCTAAATTTTCTTCTTTTTATCCAGATGTCCTACTTAAACCTTGGCAACTGGACAGAAACATAAAACAGAATGAAAAAACTTTGAAAAATTTCTGCATCTTCCTTTGTGTTTTGCTGTATGTACACTACTTTAGGTTTTATTCCTATTTTCTTTTTTAAATGCTAATACCTGAAGGCCAAAGAAACCCTTCTCCATTATCCACCTGATGTGACTCTTGTACAGTCATTTTTTATATTCAGAAAACTAGTATTTCTATATTTTGCTACCCATTCAGGAAAAATACCATTAACAGTTCTTAATTTGTCCATCTCTGAAGTGGCTGCAGTTGAACAATTTATTAGGACCTTAGGGACAGAAATCAACAGAAAAATTACTTTTGGTTTGGTTTGCTTTGCTTTGCTTTGCTTTGCTTTGGTTCAGAAAACCAAATTTCACTGAACTACACTCCCAAAGCATTACCGTTGATAGCTGGATTATACCAGAAGTCAGTGTACTAGCTTGAAAGCAAACCAATGGGAGATCCCTAGTCAGAATTAGAATTTAATAGGAAAATTAGGATAAAGGCAATAATACAGAAACACTGGCTTAAAATGACAGCCAGGATACGACCTGACACCCTGTTGATTAGGGTGGTAGTAGAAATCTGATTAAATGGTGGCTGCAGTCCTGTTGGAATGATGAATGTTATTCTGTTGCAGCGGTGATCCTGCAGTGAATTTGGTCCTTTTCTGGAGGTCCAGTATTGATTATGAAGTTCTTCTCCTCAGGGAATCCAGTGGGTAGTGCTGGCCATTGTATTCCAAACCCAGATTATAGCCAGGCAGGAATGTTTGGTTCATCCTCCTGGGCAGAGCATCTTACAATGGGATGATGCAATTTTATCAGTCATGCAGTGAGGCTTGATGCCCCTTTAGCAGAGATAGCTCCAGAGGAAGTTATCAGGGACGAGTCATGGAAGAGATAAAGAATATTGCCCCACATGTTTTTAACAGCTTATGAGGATGGTAAGAAGATACCCATTTCTGGTTGCATTTTACATTATAAACTAAGATACATACAAAACTATAAATTTGCATTAAGTCGATGGCACTTTTCAGTGTCATAAAGAAAAGCAGGAGAAAGGTGGTCTTCCTTCAGAAATGCAAATACTTGTTTTCCAGCTGTAGGTTTATATACTTGCTATAGCAAAGGCTGAAAAATATTTCTATAGTTGAGCTCACTTCACAGCTTGGAGTGCTAAGCATCCAGTCAATGCAAGCAAGAAGCAGGTACTAATTACAGCCCCTCAGGACTGAGACTTACGAGGTTTGTTTATTTTTCTTTCTCAGCTGGTATCAAATGATTCCAACCAGAATATGATGTAGATTATTCAAATGCATATATGTGTTTTCCAGTAGGTTGGGTATATAGAATGAATTTCCAAACAAAACCTTCCATGTATATAAGATTTCATCAGACTCAAAATGGCAAATCTGGATCTTTACTCTCTTCTCCTTCACTGTTTGTCTTTGATTGTTTTTTTCTGTTTTGATGTGCGTTTGCTGTTCTTGGTGAGGGTGTCGCTTACATGTTTAATATATGTATTTCCTACTCACAAAACCAGGTAGTAATTTCATAATTAGTTTACTTGCAAGAAGTTGGGAAACTCTAAGAAAGAGAATGTCTTCAAAATCAGATATCAAAAAATCTTATGTTACATTTTGAGTCTGTCCCATGGTCCCACTGTTGAAGGTTTACATAGATCAGTATACAATAGATTGCAATAACTTGGTTGGTAACACATTGGCCACTGTTGACACGTGAGCTGCATTTCAACGTCTCTGTGCATGCACCTGTCTTTGCAATTGAGGTGGAATATGGAGTATTGGCTAATGCATATCCCTAAATTGTCTTTCAGAAAGTTTTTATGGCTCAGAAAAAACATTGGGTTTTGTTGGTTTGGGTTTTTTTTGTTTTGTTTTTTTTGTTTTTTTTTTTTTTTTTTTTTTTTTTTTTTTTTTTTTTTTTTTTTTTTTTTTTTTGTTTGTTTGGTTTTTTTTTACTTCCAAGCATTCCTACACTAACATAGTTTAGTGTGTTTTGAATGAGCTAGGAGCAGACAACCATTTAGAATTGAAGATCTGTAGCATTTTTGAACTGCAATAATTCCCTCATTCTGTAGTCCTATGTCTGTACCCAAAAGTTGGGTGCTGTGTAAATCTTCTCCAGTTTTCTCTGTGTTTGTGGAGCATTCCAATTCTAGTGAAGTTTTCACAGCTCCATTCCTCTGCTCAAAGTATTTCTCTTCATGTGATTTATTCCTGGCACCATTGGCTCTTCGTGATTACTCAGAGCCAAAGAGTCTTAACAGAATTCTGCTTCCTCTAGTGCTTCACTTTGTACTGATCAGAAATGTTGAACATGATCCCCTGAACAAGAAAACTTGCTGTTTCTATGGGAGAAACATGAAAATGGGAACATTATACCTATAAGATCTCCTGTGCTGGAAAACAGGGGAACATTAGCTGTCAAGAAAGACTCCCACAGATCTACAGACTGAGAAACAAATGCAGAAGTGCTATATCAGGATAATTTTACATTTTGGATGGCAGTACAGATGAACATCGTGAGTTGAATAAGAAACTGCTGGATCATCTTCTCTCAGTAAGTGCTGAATAAATACATGTGAAATTTTTGCTTGGAAGTCCTAGCTGTGAATTTCTGGGGAACCTGTGGAGAGATGGACTTTAAAGGATTTAGGGTAAGACTTTAGAAAGTACGGAGATTCGCCTGAAATTTCAAGTCACAGAAGGCTGTAGTTCTCAACATATGTTAGGGGGAATAAGGCATGCAGGTATTCCCACTGGAAACTTGTTTTCGTTTACAGTTGGGCAATTTGGAATGAGGGCCTCAGTGCTGGGAAATCTGAAAGTACTGAACTCTAAGGCTATCCTGGTCACATCAAGCTATTATACCTTCCAATAGTTCTTTCAGTTAATGCTCATGTTTGTTAGAAAGGAAATAGGCAGAGGGATATTTTTGGAAATCTGCCTGCAATAAACCACTTAATAATATGCCTATTTACAATGCATTAGATAACTGAGGCAGTCCACCTTCCAAATAAGGATAAGAGCCTGGAAAATAAAATTATCTCAACAAATAGGTATTTGTAAGGCTAGGAGATTTTTATGTCAATGTATGCATGAGACATTTACACAGTAAATGTTCAGATGCTTGCCTGATACTTTACTGAACCTTCAGTTTCTCCTCACTGTAGATCAAACTTTTCTTCCTTAACTGAGACACATCAAGGATAACAACTACCATTTTCTATTTGACTTGCAATGAGGTAATGTGACCATACTTGGTTATCTCCAAAGTGAAAGAAAAAGTCTGTTCAAAAGGAATTTATCATAAAAAGGGGAAAAAAAAAAAAAAAAAACCAAACACAAAAACCCCAAAACCTAGCATCCAAATTCATCTACTACAAGAATGATAGTTTGACCATGGGTAGCCAGGTATATTCTTCTTTGTTCTCAAAGCTAGACTAGAAGCATCTGAACCATCATAAAATTATCTCTGTGCTATCCCTTATAGAGCATATCTTCAGCAGATTCTATGTACATGGCATGGAACAAACTGATATTTTTACAATTACTTTCATCAGCTCTTACTTGCATTTATCAAAGATGGTAAATATATAAGTGGAAGAATACACTTATTTTCAAGGGCTTATTTTGAAGTGATCTACTTTCTAAATCAACATATCAGAAAGCTGTAATACAAAAACCCCATCGCACATTTTGAGATCTATCACTATCACCCAGAAGTAAGCCTTTTCTTGACATGATATACTAAGGCAGAAGAGTGATTACATGAAAACATGTTTTGATAAAGGAACTACAAGAAGACTTCAAACACTTATGTTCCAAATTAATTGAAAGTAGAATTGGTAATATAGAAGTCAGATACTCTTTGCACAGTTTTACACGAAAACCAACATCCTTCTAAATGTATCTAGAACCTGTTTAACTGCTGATATGAAAGACAAAAGTTCACAATTTCTGGTGTTTTTGTAGGGGTTTACTGTCTTCACGACCTATAATCAATGAAAAAAATCCATATGTACAAGAAATATAAAATTTAGACCAGATTTTAAATTCAAGAAAGTGATGAATTCTTTCCCCTGGTGATTAAAGTAACCCCTTCCAAGTTTCCAAATATTAAATAATTTCAGCATATAAAAATAAAGCCATCCCTTGAAAGAAAGTGCATTGCAAAGGGTTAGGCAGAAAGCAGATTCTCCTTTATGAAACAGGATGATTATGTAAAATGCAAGCAAAAAATATTGCCAGCACATATGGCAGCAGAATCTGAGAACTGATGTCTGCAAGTGTGAGAAAAGTTGTTCCTCCTTTTTGCTGCTGGTTAGAAGGAAAAACAGTCCTGAGGAGATTATTTATTGTTTTCCTGGATATAAGAGACTATTATATATATATATATATATATATATATATATAAATATATATATATATATGTATATATATCAGTCTGTTCCTGCAATACAGGCCATATATTCAAAGGGGTCTAAATTTGGTTCTTTTGTTGATTATCTAGTTTGTTTAAATCACAAAAAAATAAGAACAAACAATTATCACAGCTAGGTGCACCCTTCAATATGACTGACTTATTGAAAATTATTAGTTGACTTTTCTATTAAAAATTTTTATGTGAAACAACTGCAATATTTTCATATACTTGGAAAGATTACAAAAAGATATTTAATTGTTTTAGAGATACAAATTCTAGCCAGTGTTTCCTCACTAATTATTTGCTATGTTATTTATAATTTAGATTTCCTAATCTCTTGTAATTTTTATCAGTTAATATTGTTCTGTTTTGATACTGGATATAAAAACCTTGAGAAAGCATAAAGAACAAAAAAATTAAATACCTGTGGAAAATTACACACTCTATATATTTAAATAAATATTTTTATGCACATAAACCACAATTTCTTCAGGGGTCTGTAATGACACGACACTTTCTTTTGATAGACTAAACTGTTGTTCACATCAACAATTTGGAAATATATTTAAAAGATACAGTATTATCAGAATTGTATGGTGTTCTTGTATCTCAGCTTGTGCCAATTAATACTTACTCTCAGAACCATTATTTTCATTATTGTTTTCTGCTGTTTGCTGCCTTTTTTAGTCCTGAGTATACAAGTATTTAATTATATTACATAACTTTTGCAAAAGAGGGATTCAGTGATTTCTTAAGCTCACTTTGATAAGAAAGGTAAACAATTGATTAGAGGCTGGTGTAAGTCTCAAGGAGTAACTACAAATACAGTGTGTATTAATTTAAACTTTGATTACTCAAAGAGAAAACTACAATGCTCTCAGGACTTTTAGAAATTTCCAGTATTTTATTTTACTGTTATGGAATGAGCCATATTTTGTCATATTGCCATAGAACATGAGGATATTACCATATGTTTCTTTTTATGACAAAAGTGTAGGCAGATATTTAAGTATAGTTAAATGAAGTAATTTATCTACAAGCTACTGGTATCTTTCTCTTCTAGCATACTTATTTCCATTCAGTTCATAATTTCATCCATTGGCTTGCCAAAATATTATTTTCAATGATAGATTATTTAGATAATTTTTTTCTGTTCTGAAAATTCATAACACGCTTTAAAAGGTGAATTGCTTTTTAATGTAAGGAACCACCCCTAGCTACTCCTTCTGCCCTGTTTTTTGGACTAAGTAAAAATGAAAGTACATGACACTAAACTAATAATGGACTAGCTAGAGATAACCTTGGTGTGTACATGAAATGCATAGATGGCTGAAAGGAAACAAAATAGCCCAGAGCAGCAGGAAAGATGAAGCTATGCTACTTATTAATGACTTTTCAAATACAAAGTACTTTTTGTTCTGAATAATAGAAAGCCAGTTTGTAAAGGCTAGTAAATATAACTAATTTTTTGTCATAATTGCTTCCTAATAACTGCACCCCTCTTATATTTCTTGTCTAGATTTTTCAAAAATTAGACATTGTTACAGTAAAATATTTACTAAGTCTTCAAAATAAAACCTATGAAAGCAGCCATTTTCATGGCAAAAAGCTCTATTAGATAGGTATCTGTTATCAGCTTGGCCTCAGGATGGAAAACTAACAAACTGGTTGCTAATTACTTAAATTAGCTGGCTTCTTGGGAAACAGAGTTTCAATAATGCATGACTTAAACACCACGCTGTGTTGTTCATCCTCTACAAAAGGTATCTGTTCCCTGCTGTTGTGCCTATTCTGTAGTTTGGAAGACATCATATAACAGTACTTAAAAGACTTAATGACTTAACAGTACTTAGTGACCAAGCCTGTTCAAGACAAATAACTCATGAAAGAGGGGACAGAGAGAAGGAATAAATGGGGTCTACATTTATTTAAGATAATAACCTATTGCTCTTTAAATTTTCTTCTTGATACTACTTTCTTTTCATGTTACTACCCAGTTGTTGTATGATCTGTCATTGTGAAGAAGATAATTATTTAACTAGGAAGTGTCCTACAACCACAAAATCAGGGTCATTATGCCAACTCATAGGCTTCATAAGATTTTCTCCTATACAAAAAGTCCCCATGTTAACGGAGGAGAAAAAGGGTTTTTTCTTGAAGCTTAAACCAACTGTTTCTGCAAAGACCCATGTCCACACTTCATTTTGAGATTGTTTTTTGGATGGGGAATAAATGCGATTGACCAAGAATAGTTGCATTTGTCAAGTGACTTTTATTTTCAACAATAAATAAAGAACACCTGCAAGACAGTTTTTGTAAAGCTTGAGAAATATTAGGCCTTTCCACCAAAGCATTGAATAAGTACAACGTACCTTCAAGGACCAGCTGCAATGAATGTAAAATATTCATATTAAATAGTTGATGAAAGTGTAGTAGGAAAAAACTCTTGTTCTTTTTAATACAAATAATTGGTGAAATATTTTAAATAATGAATGAATTTCACATGGGTGAACAAATATAAAACCTAAGTTCTCAAATAAGCTAGAGACAATGAAAAATTGACTTATTTCAATTTGTGTAGAGATAGATAGAACCTTACACTATACTAAAAGCCAACACACTCAAGCTTATAGAATGAATTTTCCAGAGAGTTCTATTCACCATGAGAATTTTAAAAGGATTTTTTTAAATGTTACATGACAGTTTAGGTAAACTTCCATTCAGGAAAATTTTCATGCTTAATATTCTCATTTCTTTACTTCAAGTCTTGTTAATGAGATAAAGTAGATAAACATTTGCTATGATTTTGTGGTGTTTTGTTTTGACAAGATGTATTTCTAATTTAGTTAACTTTTTCAAGGCACATGGAAATAGAAAAAATTAATTCTTTCCCTAAATATCATCAGTTCTTCTTAAATAAAGCTATACTTCCCAAAATAAAAATGGATTTAAAATCCAGTGTTCTTTATATTTGTGTTCTTTGTATTTGTGTTTTAATTATAGAGAATATACATGAATTGCTAAACAAACTCCATAGCACACATGAGCTTCTAGATGTATTCCAAATTTTTCTGCCAATGCAAAAAATTTACAAAGGTTTCAAGGGAGACAGGTAATCTTTCTTATGAAAGTAGGTCATGAAATGGTTTGAAAAATAATTACACATAAAAATGGAAATCTTTCAGGGTCTTTCTCTGAGCTTCACTATCTTCTCATGAATGCCTGGACTCAACCTAATACATGAAGGACTAAATAATATCTTTGCCACAATACAGGTTTTAGGAGTTTTTCTTGTCTATGAACTTTTCACTTACAGTTAGTCCTGAGTGTGATTCTTAGCTTTCTCATAATTTGGTAGTGACAATTTTTGCATTACAACTATATGTTGGTCATCTCTCTATTGTCATTTTCTTCTTGGGAAATGACAACTAAATGGTGTACTGAGCTTGCAAAAAAAAAAAAAAAAAATACTATGCACTGTCTCTCAGCCTTCTAGGAAAGAGCATTGTTTCTGCTACCTTTGACACAGGTTCCCCTGAGTTAAAATTCTAGCTGACTACAGCTGGAGTGTCTATAAAGCTGCAATTCTGTCTGCCACCAAAGCATGTGTCCTGTACAGATGGAGGTACGATGCTCATGATTTGGCTGTACAGATAGCCAGAATAGAAAGAAGGGCATTTTGTGTTTTTAATCCAAGTAATCAGAGGAATGAATGCAAAGGTCTTGTCAAGGTTACCATTCATCAGTATGAACAACAAGCAATAAAATCTTAAAAGAAACAAGTAAAAAACCCCACAGAAATTCCCAAACCCTGAATGTAGAAGTTTAGTCTTACAGCTATATGAGCTGTACGTATATAAGTTATATATAGTCTTATGGCTTACACTTTGAGCAAATTTATTGTAACAACAACAGGGATTGAATGTAGCAGACTGAAACATTATATAGTCCACATGAAGTATGACAAGGAAAAAACATATTAGCCTAATTAATTCACCTCTTAATGACTGAATGAGTTGCAAAGTGTGACGAACTTGGTGCAGCCAAGATCCAACAGATGCTGAAGCAGTTCTTAGAGTCTTATAGGAGTGCCCACATACATTGTCAAGAACACTTCTGTAGCAGCGCCTCATGCTGTAACATAAATCTCAAACATTTACATCAGCTCTGCAGAGAAATTAATATTTTGCTAAACTCATGCTAAGTGGGACCAATGAGTCCTATGGTTTGTATAAAATAGGAACACTGACTTCCTTCTCATTTTCAAACATGTCCAGAAAATAGCAAAGACAACAGAATGCATCCATTGCCCCACTTTCCTCATTTTCATATACCTTACATTGCTAATGCTTAGTGTGATGGCTTTTCATGGTTCAGTGCTCTCTGGCACAGTCAACTTTTCACAACTTCAGTGAATTGTTCCAGAGAAAATACACACATTATTACGCTTAAGCACAAAGAGATGAGCAATAATGAAATGTTAATGTGCAGCAGCCATAGTGTGCTGATTATTGACATAAATAATAGTTCAAGAAAATGGTTTTTTTTGGTTTTTTTTGGGTTTTTTTTTATGATGACTGAGCAAGAATCAATCTAATATGTTTAGCCATCTCTTGATAGGAAAATCAAATGCAGGACACTTTTGCATCTTCCAATGGACTTAATTGTATTTTCAGATGTGGTAACCAAAACCAAAGTTATGGGGTGCTTCTTCTAATGGACTTATTTTAACTCATTGAACATTGTGATAAACAGGGGATGAAGGGAATTTTTCCTTCTCATTTGTTTCCCAAACCTGTAGGGTTTTTAAAATTTACTTTATTGCTCATTAATAATGCATAGAAAGAACACTTTTTAAATTTTTTAAAAATATTTTAATTTTTAAGGTTAAACCAAAAATTAGATGGCTCTCTTTTTTATGTTACTTGAAAGTTGATAGGGTTTTTTTTGCATACAGTATGGGCTAGCTCACAAAAGAGATACAGTCACTATTTCACAACTAGGTTGCAAGTTTGTTATGAAGTTCAATTTCTGTTCATCAGAAGCCAGACTAGGAATTAAGCAACGTACCTCAATAAATGTGTACTTTTAAAATGTAGTTCCTTTATTGGTAACAGCAGAATCAAGTTGTCAAAATTGCACATTACAAGTGCAGTGCACTTGCTGAAAATATTGGCCTGAATTCCCATCAATGACTAGGTCTCTGGATGTTCATGGTAAATGCTGTGTGTGCTCTGGTGCTTAAGGAACTCTATAAAAAATTCATGAATAGATGATATTAGTTCATTCCACATCCAAAGGTTTACAGAGTCTCCTGAAGACCCAGACAAATCGTCTTTCTTCTTTCCCTACAGATACTCTCTCTTCTCATGCCTTAAAATAAAGCTTTTTAGAGGCAGAGGGAAATGCCTCCAATTTAAATGCTGCAAGCTTTCACTTGCTTGAGGCAATCACAATGTGTTAGAGGGGATACTTCTTCCTTTTACAGTGGTCTGTTTTTACACAAATTGACCCACACACAAAAATCTAAAATTGTCGCATAGGTTTGCTGAGCCACTGTCTATTTTCAGAGTGAGAAGGAAATTAGACTCACTCCCATATTTTATTCAGAAGAAAGAAAAAAAATAGAAAACAACTGATTTTTAGATGGCTTCTTCATATTCTGCAGGTAGCTTGCATCATGAGAGGACTCAGGATATAGTGGTCATCTCATGTATTCATGCAAATTTGGAGACTGCTGTCACAGGAAGAAATAAGGCCAAAAAAGGAGTTTTTCACTGGAAATCACAAACTTATATTGTGTATAGTCAGGGAAAAGAACTCAGTGCAAAAAAAGATGCCTTAAGTATAAGAATTTCCTCTGAGTAAGTAATCAATAGATAAAATAAATGTGCCTTGCTTGGATTCCTAAACTTTGAGTGACTGGATTTTTTTTCCCACTTTCTTATAAAAGAAGGTAGTTAGATAATGTGTTTTGTCGAGTCCCTGCTTAAATACAAAAACTGATGTATCTTTTTTGTCTCTCCATTAAGCCAGTAGATGACAAATTTCATTGTCATGTGACATTTTCTCTGTCTACCAACCAGCAATCTGAGACATCTAATGAGGTTAATTATTCAATTTTCAAGATACAATTGATAGATAATGTTTTTGTGATGGCATCTTTGATGTGCATATGTACTGTGACCATACATTTTCTAAAATTACTGTCTTTTTCCATTGTGGTCAGAATAAAATAAGGACACAAAGACAGAGAGGTAAGATTTCATCTGGGAAAGCTGTGCAGCTAATCTAATAGTTAAGTTTGAAAAATTAAAGAGGACAAACCTTAAGGAAATGCCTACTTCATTGTTTGACTTAATCTTCTCTTTTTTTTTTTTAATTCTGTCATATGGGAAAAGCTAGATTGGGCTCAGGCTGCTTCTTTAGAAGACTAGGAAAAGTTTCTGCCAATTTTTATGATTTTTAAAACATGATGTAAGAGAACTTCAAAAAGAATTTTTGTTGATGGCAGTTTTTGAACCACCAAGGCTGTGGAGCAGAACCATTTGCTGGAAAGAGCACTCCCGGAGCTACTTCCAAAATCATTAAGAGCTTAGATCATAGAATAGTTATTAACTCCATTACAAATTTTTCCCTCCATGTGTGTTTCATAATTGCTAATCTCCTTAACCTTTTGAGGTAAGCATATGCATTTTTCTAGTCTTCCTCTTCTATATTTAATCTTTTGCACTTCTGGGGCATTTGGTTCATAAAAGATCTAAGTCATAAATATAGCCATTTCTATTTTATTGTGACATTCCTTCTTTAAAATATGTCTGAGAATGTTTCAATGGTTAACAGTAAACCATTTTCCTATGCTTATGCTTTATTTCACAGTAGTCATAATATCCCTTACAATAGAAGAGACCTTTTCCAAAGGCTTTCTGAGGCTTCTGAGACTCTCTGCTATAAATTATATTTGTATTCTTCACAGAAGACTGAGAACTGTTTTGTGCAAATAATGGCACAGAACCTCTTGCATTTCTGCAGAGCTGCTGAAGGCTTCTTTTTCCCCCAGTTTGCCTACTGCTGTCATTCTAAACTCAACTAGGATAGCCATCTGCATGTCATATCTGCATGTCATATCCTGTAGCATCCCATGACCTCTCTGCTCTCAGCCAATTCCCAAGTCCTCTGCCCGGTGACTAACCACCACAGAGTCGTCCTCCTGGGGGGAAAGGACAGACTCCCCATGGACTCCCCTGGTTTCTCCTTTCCCCGTTCCCTCATTGGGAGGATACCCCTGGTGGCTGCGTCCTTTCCCCTGGAGCCCAGGCCCCTCTGCCCAGCCCGTAGCTCTGCCCCCACCCCTTCCCCTTCAGCTGCCCGCTCACGGGGTGGTTCTCTTCCTTGCAGGGCTCCTTCAGCTTCACGTGATGCATCTCGCTGGAATAAAGCCTTGCAAAAAGAGCCTTTCTTGCCTCTCTCGCTGAGCCAGCTGTGGTGAGTGTGGTGTGGGGATCTGACTGCATTGCCTGAATGTTCACCCAACCTGCTTTTCTACAGGAGAGGTCTGTGGGGAACAGATACTGGGCAGCAGCAGCCACCATCCATCTCCCATATTTTTAGTGGAACATACCACTGCTCCAAGTAGATGCTTCTGAAGGGTAAACATTAAAGAGACACAGATGAAACATTTGATGTCATAGACTTTATATGAAAGCACAGATATAAACTAGTTGGTAATGAATGTC